ATTGTTGTTTGGCGGGCCCGGGCTGGATTTGAACCTGCCACCTTAGGTGTATGTGGCTGGGGACTTAGCCGCTTGAGCCACAGGCGCCAAGCCCTTTGGTGCTTTTTTAATGGGGAAGGATGTTAGAACACAAGATCTGGAAGTGAAGTGTGCTCACTGCTATGGGGGTCGTTGCATCCTTTCAGTGTGCACATGGTGGGAAACAGCAATTTCATGTGAAAACCGTGGATCCCAGCAAGAGCAATCTATTTACTCTTGTGCTTAATTCTACAGTACACATAAAATTGTTTCAGAATTACCACACCCATACCATTGTAGGTTTATGATGAACAATACTTTTACTAACCTTTTCAGTCACATTTAAATTTTCTTGCAATTCTTTCTGTCCTTATCATTAGACAGAAGATAGTAAAAGTGCTGTAACTAGAAATTACTTGGATTATTTCTTTTCCATTTTTCTTTAATATGATTATGTTACTGATTTGGTATAGAGTTCATTTGTTTCTGTTTGTTTTCAATTTTGAGGTTTTAAAAAAATGTTGATTTAATTTTTTTTTTCCTTGAGTTAGAGTCTCAAGGTGTTGCCCTTGGTAGAGGGCCAAGATATCCTAGCTGACAGCAGCCTCCCACTCTTGGGCTCAAGAGATCCTCTTACCTCAGTTTTTCTATTTTTAGTAGAAAGGGGTCTTGCTTAGGCTGGTTGTGAACTCATGAGCTCAAGTAATCCACCCACCTCAGCCTCCCAGAGTGCTAGGATTACAGGCATGAGTCACTGCGTCTGGACTTAATTTTATTTTTAAACATGTGAAATATTAACATGTGTTCAAACTTGGAAACTTGGCCAGGCGCAGTGGCTCACACCTGTAATCCTAGTGCTCTGGGAGACTAAAGCAAGTGGATCACCTGAGCTCACAAGTTTGAGACCAGCCTGAGCAAAAGCAAGACCCTGTCTCTACTAAAAGTAGAAAAACTAGCCTGGCATTGTGGCGGGCGCCTGTAGTCCCAGCTACAGAGGAGGTTGAGGCAAGAGGATTGCTTGAGCCAAAGAATATGAGGTTACTGTGAGCTATGATGCTATGGCACTCAACCCTAGGGTGACTGAGACTCTCTCCCAGAAAAACTTACTCAGGTTTATTTTTCCTGTTTTTTTTTTTAATTTTTATTTATTTAGTTTTTTTGAGACAGAATCTCACTATGTCACTTTCAATAGAGTGCTGTGGCATCCCAGCT